CAACGCATTTTATTAATAAAAATATTAAACATTTTATAACTATTTAAAACTATATTTTTTGCATGGTATTACCTTTGGAAAAACGAATTTTTACTATTGTATGAAAAAAAAATTCGATTCAATCAAAGCGCAAAACGTTCTTGAGATATGACGAGATTGAGATATTATGATTGAGTTATTATTTCGAAGCTATTACTATGCACTAATTAATTAGTCCAAACGATATTTTAAGTTAGGAAATTAGGCATAAAAACGTACTCCGATTAAACATACCTTTTTTCGTCGGATTTGTGATCCCCAAAATATAGTAGTTTCAATCTAGAAATATTGTTTTAGCAGTTTTTTCAGGAGCGCGCTTGAAAGTTAGGACCCTTTAATGTTAACTTTAGTTTGTGCATTTCACTATATCCATTTTTTTTTAAGCGAATTGAAAAAGTTTTGCATACAATTCCAATCAGATCAATCAATTCCTATTCGCTTTTCTAAAGATAATTTCATGCAAAATAAAGTTTTTAGTAAACATTTATTATTATTTTATTTAAGGGAAGTCGAGAAACTTAAGAAATGTAAGGTATACAATTTTTTCATCAATTGCAATTTTAAATTTCAAAATACAAAATTTAAGCAAAATCGGTCAAATAAGTCCTGAGAAATAAAAACTTGTATTTTTCGAAATTTGGTCCCCTAACTTCTTAATTTTTAGTGTCCATTTTTTGCAACTTGAAATTCGTAACTATGAAAGCAAACGCAAATTTAAATCGTAGATTAAAGAATGTTTCGCGTTGGTATGTGGTAAACAATAATTAATTAACTGTATGAAAGGTTATTCGTTGCAGGCGTATGTCAATATGTAAAAAGCTTCATCAGAGTGTAACAGAAATCTTGGTAGAAAGTGTGCTTTCAGCTTTGCAGAAAAACGAAAACATAGGCAGATAAACAGCAATCATGTGAGGAATTTTTTTTTTAAATGTAAGTTAGTTAATATTCGTTTTTCGGACGCAAATTTAAAATTTTTAAATTGAAAAATAATTACAAATTTAAGCTATATTGCTTGAAATCTTATATTTCAAGTCGATGGACTTACTCTTTTTCTCAAATGGTGATTTTACTCTTTATGAACTTACTCTTTTTCTCAAATTTTACAGGACATAGATGTTCACTTTAAAAGCTTCTTTGAAAAGAAAAAGGAATCGCGAGGAGAAATTTTAAAAGTCTCTTCGTATTTATTTACAATATATATTACCATCGAGTCCCCTGATTAAAATAGCCCCTTTTTTGTCCGTAAAATTATAGCATGTAACATTTAAAAAAAATTCGAATTTTACAATTTTATGGCCATAACCATTTCGAAGTTCGTTCAAAACGGGGCATGATATCTTTAAATGGAATACGTGGGCGCAAAAAATGTACTTGAAACTTCATTTGCAAAACATTTAGATGATTCAAAAGCCAATCGATTCATGTAAAAATAACATTTCATATCAAAATGTTCTTTAAATGTTTTGTTAAATGTGCATGAAATTTCAAATTTTTATTAACGAATAAATTTTGCGTTATGAGAGTTAGAAGCGTAGAAATATTTTGAAATAGCGGTTACTGCTACAATTATTTTCCTTAATTACAGAAGTAATTTTGACGCTTACAATGTATGGTAAATTGCACCATACAGTACAAAATACATCAATAACGAAAAAAAAATTATATTTAAATTTACATTAAAAGGAATCTGCACATTATGGTATCAATATTCGTGATTTTAAATTCTTCACACTTGAAAAAAATGATGTGAGAAAAAATGTAAAGTACAAAATTCGTCTTAATTTAAATATTTTGAATTAATTTGCTTGAGCCCCTCTGTCGGGGGAGACTTGACCCCTTGTCGGGCAGAGTCTGGCGCCACCCTTGATGAAATATGAGATTTTCGAACGAATTTCGACGAAATAGGATATTTTTAACGAAATATGAGAGATATACATTTTACTAAATTTAACAATTTGGCTCATTAACAATTTGACATTTGACGAGGCAATAATACATTTGACGAAAAGCGAGTGAGAAGTTTCAGCTTCATAAGATGTCAAAGAATGCATTAAGACTCGTAACCATATTTCGTAACCGAACACAAAACGAAGTGAAACTCATAATTAATCTTACCTTTTTTACAATTTATAACCAGCCTTGCACTAAAAATCAATGGTGTTTTTAAACTAACCGATTATTTTCTATCCAAGTCAGACCCTTTATTATATTTAAACAAACTATTTTGTTATTAAAATTCAACAAACAACATATGTAACTTCAGTATCGATAGGAAACGCCATGTTAAACTTCGCTTTCTTCTTACTATTGGACAGTTGGTGACGTAAGCGTAGGACTTCCATTCGATTGGCTCCACACTAAAAAGCGTGTTAGAGAAGGTGTGGGTCCACCAATCCATTGTCCTGGGAATTCAGCATCTAAAGCGCGCTGATAAACAGGGCCCGACTAAAGGCCTGTTTACACGGTTCAAGTTCTTGAATCCAAGAAATTGGACGGATTTCTCTGTCCAAGAAATTGGATGATTCGTTGACACTATCCAAGTTCTTGAATGTCGCTGATTCGTTGAAAGAAAACCTTGCGCATGCGCATTGTTCATATTCAGCATTATAAAATAATACTTACATAAGTTTAAAATTACTAAATAAATTCAAATAAAATCATAATAACACAAATAAACCGCAACAGATCAATTTATTTGGACTAAAATATATGAATAGATATGCAAAATGACATAATCTGCTGCCTGCTTATTGACGTCATAAAACCTAAGACGCTAATTGGTTAAAGGAGAAAAANATAAGGTTTTAACTGGTTCATCATTTTGCATTTCTGCAAGTTCTTCTTGATATATTTGATATATCAGACAAATCCACTAACATGGACTGCAACATCCATGTTGGGAAATAAATTTGTTTTCAATCAGAATATCTTCCGTTTAAATCAGCCGATAGAATTTTCAGATGATAGACAATAACAAGTAAAGGGGTATCATTTACTTCACATTTTTGGAGCCTATGAAACTGTTCAAAGTTTTTGTTGTTAATATATTTCTGACATAACTCAATAAGGGTAATGAAGCCATACATCTTCGCTTTTGCATCAACCAGGTTTTATTTGTTCCTTGAAGTTTCTTATTTAATATATTCAGTTTTTCAAAGATATTGGCTAAATAACTCACAAATGCTTTACCATCGACTGTAAACAGATACTTCATTTCAGGTTTGTCGCTTAAAAAATCCCTAAGTCACATAATATTTATTGACCGCAATTATTTAAGAATTTGCTTTTTTCTTTCGATTTTGTCACCGAAATCTCGCATTGCATTTAAATGGCCCAGAGCAAAAGGTTTAAACTCATGTCGAGTCCATTTTTGAATTGCCCCCCTTTACTATCAAATTGCCCCCCGGTGGGGCGTGGGCCCCACGTTGGGAAACACTGCTGTAGAGGAAATGATTTGACGGTGAAGTGTCGTCGATGATAAGGCCCATAGATGAAGTGATTGTCACCGAAATGAACGGGACCCTTCGGATATTTATTACACCAGTTTTCACAGTGTATTTGAGCGTTGTACTCGTTGTATTGTTTCATTACAATTTTTTTTGGTTGTTTAACACCTAATTTATTGTTAAGTAGTTGCGATTATTTTTAGAGTCAAGATCACTAAAAATTTTTAGAGTGTAAAAAGACAAAAATAATTTGAAATTAATTCAGCAAAACAGCAACAACAAAAAAACCAATAAAAAATTTATTAAGTTTGCGCTTCAAGTAAGCGCAATAAATACTCTGAACTTAAAATGCTTTATACTATTTGAAAACATACTACGTAAGTATTTTCATAAATTATCATTATTTTAATATGAAACTAATTTAAAATGGATCACGCTAAGCAAAGAATTAAGAAAAATTCTCAATTTGCGAATCCTTCTGTCTGCACTGTAAATGACTTCTTAAACTAAATATTTTTTTTTTATTCATTTTAAAATTTCCTATAAATGTTTCTAGACACGTATGAGTTTAATATGAAGCTTTTATTAATAGGAAGTAAAATTTAAAAGAATTCTAAGAAGTAAGCAATTTAAAAGCTACTTAGCTCAGAAATTTGTGAAATAGCATTAGAAATTTCAGAAATTTGCGAAATTGCCTTGTGTTAGCACTATCTATACTTGCACGTTTTGGGAAATGTAAATTTTTTAAATTTCTATCCATTTTTTCTTGACATACATAGGTATTTTTTGGAAAATATTACGTCCCTGTATGAAATGATTCCAAAAAGCTATGAAAAATTAGTCAATAGTCTAACTTGTTAGTGCTATATAAGCTCTGTGTATTATAAAAACTTCATAGTGTTTCCTGACATATATGGTTATATTCAGAAAATATGAGACTCATATATAATCAGTTTCAAATAAAATCTGTGATGCAAAAAATTTTAATAAATTCACAAATCATCCAACCCTGTTTAAATTCTACATTTACTCTATATTTCATTTAACTAAATTTTTTTAATAAAATTTCCATAAATATTTTTGACACATATGTATATTTTAGAAAATATTACCTTCATATTATAACAAATTACCTAATAATATTTGCAAAGCTCTCACTCTCACATCGGCACTGTAAATATTTGGAATTTGCGTATTTTAGACTCAATAAATTTTTTTTTTAAAATTTCAATAAATGTTTCTAAACATTATTGTTTATTTTAAAAAGGGTGGCACCCACATTTTAATAAATTGGTTTTAAATTAATCAAGCTCTACAGGAAATTAGTTAATTGTGCAACCCAATATTAAGGCTCCGGATTTTGAGTCTTTTTTTTCTCCCCTAATAAGAATTTTTTCTCAAGCTGTACATATCTGAATTATAAATTTTCTCCAAAATTTTAAGATAAAACTGGTTTTAAAGGTTTCAGCTAGTTCAAAAAGCGTACCTTGATAAAAAAAATAATTTTTGTGTAGATAAGAGATTATAAAACTTTTTATTTACATAATACAATACAATGGTTGCACAATTTTACACACTTTTTAACAATTCAATAACTTCTTTATTGCATACTTCAGAATGCTTTCTGAAAACGTAATGAGATCCTTCTTTAAATGACAAAAGTTTTAACCAAGAGAAGTCTTCTCCTAAAACAAAAGAAAATCCATAATTCATTTATGATATGATTCATTGAAAAACTATTATTTTAAAAAAAATTAAATGAAATACAATTTTTTATATGTATGCTTAAAGTGTACATATTAAAGAGAAATATGTTTATTAAGACCAATTATTACAAAACTCGCAGCTAATCTTTGCTTTTTTTGTAGTATGAAAATTTCTAAATATTTTCTAATGTTGGAGATGTTTCTAACAATCACTGTTCAACTTTTCTCCATTTCCTCCAGCAATTAAACAAGTTTCGATACTTGAAACCCTGTTTTCATTATAAGAGATTTAGCAGATTTCAGCAGCATTTTGGTGTTGTTGTTTTTTTAACATAAATATTATTTTGTGACGTCTTTTTAAAAGATTTCTCCTCTAGATTATGGTGAGAGAAAAGCATTTCAGTCACACTCCTTAAAAATAAATTTATGTCCGTAAAGATATCATGAACCTAAACATATTGGTCTGCCTGTAATTTTCATCAATTGAACTATAGAGCCATTGACCTTAAATTAATGTCATACTCGTAAAATTATCTTGAGTTATTGTCTTGACATTGTTTAACACTCAGTTTCACTTGTTGAATCCCGGAAGGTGGAACAAGATTAGGTTGTGTAATGCTGCCATCTGTTGAGGAGTAAGAGAGTAACGTATTCAGGGTCTGGGGTGATAATTATTAAAGAAGTACGAAAGAAATGTTTTTTTTTTCCTTTTTTTTTGGTATTAGCTGGTATCCAACTCAAAATCGCTGAGCGTTGCAAAAGTTGGACACCATAATGTTAACAGTACAGAGATTTAACCCAAATATATCAGTATGTCAATATAGCATATGGACTGTGTTGCCAGTATGACATCAAGACTGTATGCTGCTAGCAACACTAGTATTGATATACGTGAGCCAAATCTCTGAACTATTGACATCATGATATTCATACTAATGACATCAGGATTGTATGGTATTAACATAAGTATAATGATATACATGACCCAAATCTTTGTATTATTTACTATTTTGGCATATAATTTACAAAAACAGAAATATTTAAGACTAATAAAAAATGATATATAAATTAATCTTGAGAAATAAATTTTTAAATATATTTTTGCATAAGTCATGAAATTTACTTTTCATTCATAAAAATATACAAAAATTTTGCTTGATAACAAAAACTTATTACAATATCAAAACTTTAAAACATAAGTCACAATCTGCTTTAGTGAAACAAAATAATAAAAAGACTACAACTATGATTTAGTCTATTGTATCTCATATCAAGAAGAATTAATTATACTGTTAAGAGTCATTACTTAAATAATTATTTACTTGGCTTCTCTTAATTTATATTATATGTACTCGTATTAATAAACTCATAAATTATAGTGCTAAGAGTTCCCCTAGCAAACAATACTATGTTCAAATAGTTATAATTTACTATTTATACTGTGTTCCATAGCTTTATGATGCAACCACCATGGGAAAGAGCTTTTTAAAAATCTATGCAGTTCTGCCGCAATATGAGCTTGTTCGAGGAAAAATTAATAATAAAAGTAATTTCAATTATAATAATTATATTCGGTGTTATGTCCAGCTCTGGTTAAGATATAGTTTCAGTTTAGTATGGATTTTTAGCATCCTGTTAAAGATGACGCTAAAAGCACATTAAAAAATGCAAATTGTTCATTTTGCAAAATTCTTAGAATATTCATGAAATATTTTATCCATCAGTTTCCCAGCTCTCTTTGGAATGTGTTTTATAACTAAAGTGGTTAGATCATCCTATTATGGACCCAGAGGTCCTTGGTTCAAATCCTGACAGCAGCCAACAAATGTCTTTCTTGCACATTTCTTCCTCCACATCACCTTTAAAACTATGCATTTTGCTCAGAAATGAGTATATGCTGTTTTAATTTTGAATTCATGCAGTTTTGAAATTCAACTATTATTTGTTTTGGGACTATTTTGACACATTTTTGCTCAATTTCGGAAAACTCTTTTTTTTATAGTGCATATTCATTCTGGCTTTTTAATGGCATTAAATTAAATGTGTTGGACAGTACTCGTTTGAAAATTGGGCAAAATTTGGAAGCATGTTATACCATGTTTCCTACAGAACATATGAACACAGAGTTCCTTTTTTAGATGCCTAATTGAAATAGAATCCCTATTTCCAGTTTAATTTTCTTTAAAATTTTTAACGATTGCAATATAATAATTATTAGGTTAAATAAAGCATTATTTTATTTCAAAAGAAATGTTTACAATATAGAACATATTTTTCACAATTAAGCATTATTTCTAAGTGGACGTTAAAGCTAACGTTTCCTACAGCAATATGTAAACTGTGCAAAATTTGAAAGCCTATTTTTCTATATTTCATTCAGAGCATATGAATACAGAGTTTCTAATTTGTGCAATCAATGCCTTAAGAAAATTAATTTATATTTTTTGAGTGAATAGAAAATTATCAATAATGTACTAATTTCTTTAATAAAAAAACAGTGTGTGAAGGCATTTTATTTAGAAAACTGAGTAATAACATACATTTTTAAAAGAATAAAAAAAACAAAGAAAAATATATCTAATTTATTAAATTGACATAAAATTAATTTCATAGAATTGAAACATATTCAAATTATGATTAAATTTCATAGAGTTAATACTTCTCCAAATTATGATCGAATTTCATGGATTTAATATTTCAAATTATAATTAAAATTCATAGAGTAAATATATTATTAAAATTGTGACTAAATTTCATGGAGTTAATATATGGAGGCTTTTTAAATTATAATTAATAATTGTTAAGACAAAACCAAAACATATTTATTAAGCATACCTGAAAAAAATTAAATGCTCACCTTTTGTAATTAAATTGGCATTTTCATCATAATAGTTTATATTATCTTTAAAAGCTCCAAAAATACCGACTACTTCATATGATAGATTTCTTTCAACTACTTTATCATCTTCACTAAAACAAAATAGAGTAGGAATTTCTTTTTCAGCAATCTCTGCCATCAAAGTTCTTGCCTAAATTTAATAACAAATAAAACATCAGAATATGATTTACTGTTAAAAAGAAAAATGTTTAACTGTGTGCTTGCTAAATACAGTAAAGGCATTAAATAATGAGGAATTAATAAAAAATTTCTCATTATAAACTTTTTATTTTGGACGCAACTCAAAATGCATGTTTAAGAAAATGGGTTTAAAAAGTGCATTTAAGAAAATAGATCGAAATGCTTGTTTAAAAAAACAATAATCAAAAAAGAATTTTGATAATTTAGAATCTCTGTCTTTTTCTTTAAAAAATAAATAAATTGAGGTACTACTCAAAATGCTTATTTAAAGAAATAGACAGAGATTCAAAATTATCAAACTTCTTTTTTGAGTATTGTTTTTTTAAAGAATAAATAAATTGAGATACTACTTGAAATGCTTGCTCAAAAAAAAAAACAAAAAAAAAACAGAGATTCTAAATTATCAAACTTATTTTTTTAGTGTATTATTTTTTTAAAGAATGAAATTCGTTAGAGGGTTTGCATAAATCACATTTGATTAGATTAAGCTCTTTTTGAAAGTCAACAGTTATATTCACAAGGTCGTCTGAAAATTAATGTTGCAAAAATGCAGATTTTTAAAACTCAATTTATCATTATGAATATGAATTGAATGTAATGTAACCAATCACTCCGACCTAAATATCTGATAGTTAAGGACTAGGTTTAATGTTTAAATAATTAAGGAAAATTAAGCACGTATAGTTTTTAAATGTGGATTGATCATTAAAAAGGTGCAATCGTTGTTGTATCCATTTACTTAAATACACATTCTGAGGTGTTTCTACTTTCTTACAACGCATTTCAAGCTAGGTTCATTTTCTTAAACACACACATCGAGCTGTGTGCATTTTCTTCCACATGCATTTCAAGCAAGGTCTATTTTCTTGAATACACATTCAGAGTTGTATTCATTTTCTTAAATACAAATTTTCATTGATTACACAATGTTAACTTAATATTACAATAGAATTTTGTTGATTTATGGTTAGCGATTATAAAAAACTGACATAATGGGGTCTTTTAAAGTATAAAATTTCCTTTATCTGTAAGTATTATTTCTATAGAATGGAACCAAGTTTTAAGTTTTACAACTTACATTATCTCTAGCGTTAAAACTATGACTTGAAGCAATTAAAACATTTAACTTGGTACATAAATTTCAAATTCAATTACTTAATATTAGGTCATATAATTGATAATCAACTATAACAATAAGAAATATAATTAACATAATTGCCATTTAATAACCACTGTTTTATCTTGTAAAGAATCTTAATATCAGGCAAAAATGTTTAAAGGTGCTAAAATTATTTTATTTATTTCTTTGTTTATTTGTAATAACAAAGTCTTATACTGATTCGTTTTTTAAAAGAAAACTATTAGTCACAACCGAAAACAAGTCACTGTTTTGAGCATATTAAGAACTTTGTTATAGCACCAACTAATTTTCTGCAGTATGAAGTTTTACAAGTTATCTTAATAATAGTTAAAATAAATAACTTCCGGAAACAAGTTTCCAGATCAAAATTCTTTTTTAAAAAAGTGCAAAAAGAAATGCACTGGCACTTAACAAAATAAAATGCATTCAAAATGAAAAAAAAAATCAGATTTTATCGATTATTCTCTGTCGATTATTGGAAAAAAAACATTCCACATTTATAATACAGATATGTATTAATGTGTAACACTCATCCAAATTGGAAGGCGTTAAACAATAGTTATAGACTCAAATAAAAAATGGATTGATAATAAAAATATGATGAGTCCCTTTTACAGATATGCATCAAATAATTTGACTTTGAAAATAAAGCAGTTTAAGTAAAAAAATTCTGGATCAAATTACAGTAAAAAGTGCAGGCACCTTGGGTGCATCATTCTTAAAACAATTCTACAATTAAATCCATTTTCATCGTAAAGTTTTATACCAAATATTTTATAACAATAATTATTTAATTACTGAGATTCAGTGATTTTATAACAAATATTGCTGTAAAAATAACAGTATAAGAGATTTTTTGTTCCATAAAATGTTACAGTAAAAATGGAATTTACAGTAAAAATGACCAGGGTGCTAGTGCATTTTACCGTAATTTAATCCAGAATTTTTTATAGTGCAATTGATCCCTTTGAATTAACAAGGTTGTTTGGAGGAACGATACAAAGTGTATAGAATCACAGTAAAAAAAATTTCTGAAGAAAGAAAAAAGCATTTCATAAATTGTTTAACAAATGTAACGTCTGATTTGATCATGACCATTAAATTCCAATATACTGTAATTGGATAATTTAATATTTTATTAAGAAAATAATTAATACAATACACTAATGCTAATTTGAAGTTGACAGAAAGGGACTTCTATTACTATATAAATTTTTAATTGTAAATGCAATTATAACAAATGAGACATTGTTTTTGAGAGTGGAATAATTTCATTTGGCCTCAAATATTGTACATTTCTTTTCACGATTTAAATAATTATTATAACATTTTAACGATCTATCAAATTATAGTGTTAAAAACAAGCACCCGAATTGTTTAACATTTGTCAATAAATTCATTCAAATGCTAACCCTTAAGTGTCTTGATATATACAAAAAATTGACTTATTTCACTTACAAAAATAATGGCACATATAATAGTAATAGTGTAAAAAAATTATGGATTAAGAATAATTGGTCAGGGAGTGAATCTTTTAACTAATTTAAAAAAAAAACTAATGAAATTGCATTTAATACTTAAGGAAATGGACTAGTTGAAAAAGTGTAATTAGGTAGTGTATCACACACTACAATAAGTGGAATGATTGAAATTTTAGACAATTTTAAAACTCTCTTCAACTTTTGGTTAAATAGAATGAAAGTTCTAAAGTTGCAAAAAATTTAAATTTGGCCTTTTACATTAATAGTTTTTTTTAAATATATATCTAATTTTATTCGAATAATTATTTAATTTGATAATTCTAACTGAAAGTCAAAAATTGATTCATATGTTTAATTCATAACTGCTTTTACTCAGTGTTTTCTTTCGGTCATTTCTTTCCAGTAATCTTTATTCCGTTTTTATACTTCCCTTAGAACATCCCTTTAAATCAACTTCAAAAACGTAAAATAAGAAAGAATTGATGAAGAATTTTTTTTTAATGGCTTAAATAAAAAATTTTCATCCATTTTCCAACTCATTCCAACAAAATCTCGAAAATTATTTCATGGGTTTTATTTTTATTTAATTTAAAATAAGTACAAAATACTGACGATAATTTTTTAATGATATCTCTCAGGATGGTTTAAATTTCATGTTTTATCACGCAAAGTTCAGCAATTTAACGCAACGTAATTTTTTTTTCATATCTTAAAACACAATATCTTATCAAATTATACGATCTATAACGTTGATGTTACATGCTAAGACTATTCAACATTCTTAATTTTAATATGATGCAAAAATATATATAACTCAAAAACTTTATTTGATCATAAGTAATTATTAAATCACTTTTTCTGAAATGATATTTCGACAAACTATTGTAATGGGTAAAATGTTTCGGATCCACGAATTTACCTATATTATTATATCCAAAAATACAGAAATTAACATTAATAAACTTTTAACAAAATCTCTAAATAAACTGTTAGAAATTCTCCACGATATAGTTGTTTCAAGAGTTTATATTCAAATCAGTTTTATAAAGTATACTCATTAGTTCATTAACAGAGTAATTCTAAAATCAGAATCTTTTCAATGCATTCTAACACAAACATATGTTTATTGTATTGCATATCTTATAGCCATCATTATACAGCCGACCCAAATTTTTGGGTTTACGACTACTAATGTTCAACTCCGTAGTCTTGTAATTTTGAGCCCAATCCAGAAAACAAGGGAACTTCTGGATTAAGTAAAGGGAGAAATTTGCCCTCATGGAGAATTTTTTCAGGGTACAAACCCGCATTTGCATTACATACAGAGGAAGACCACGAGAACCTCTGACGGTTAGCCTGACGGCAAGGGGACACTGTTCCATGATCCATCTAACACTGAGGATATTTCACGTCAGCACATTTGTCGGTGCAGGCCTGATGCGAAATTGTTATCGCTGAGATTCAAACCCGGTTCATCTCATTGGAAGGCGAACGCTCCCCTGAGTCATCGCGGTTCAAGTATATGTTTCAGAGCCGTTTTTATGTTTATAGGGGCCTGTCATTATCTGGGGAGCAAAATGAACAGGGAGCTGAGCCTTCTAGTTTTTTAAATAATTGTTAAATTATTAGTTTTTAACATGCATTCTTAAAAATAATATGAAAAACATTTTCCAGTATTAAGAAGTAATAATTAAAAACGGTCATCAGAATAGAATCCACGACCTCGCAGTTTTGTGTTAGATTTCATAATCTTCAGCCCTAAATATACACACCCATATTGCGGATATTTTTAAAATTTTTTTTTAAAATTTAATAAATTAAGTCATTTGAATACTTGACATTCTTGAAAAAGGCTTTCCAAATTACCATTTTTAATATTTATAACAAGTATATTCAGTTTATTTAGAAGTAAGCCATAATTCGGCTTAAACTTATTCATTTTCAGCTTATGTATATGCACCAAAAAAAAATTAAAAACTAGACTAGATATAACACAAGGACTGCAAATTTAACTGTCGGATATAAAACCTTATTTAAGATTGATAATGATAAAATGATGAAAAATCTACATTCCTCTAATTAAATATTTTAAAATAGTTTGTTTTTAGGTTATAATGTTCGTAAATACTTTAATAAACTTTAATCAAAGAAAAAACATATCCAATATTGAAATCTAATGAATATCCCTGATAAATTTTGTGACAAAAAAAATTGAATCCTGATTGATTTCCGGATTTTAGAAACACCTTCTAGTTTTACTATTCAATCAAATTGGTTTCGATGTCTTTCATCCCACCTGTCTCACTGGTGATTCAGCATATTTTGATATCATTTTCGTTTCGTTCTTACTTAATTTGTTTGCGACAATTATTTTTTTACTACATTTTGTGAGAAGTTTAAAAATATAATATTGAGGGCATCAATTGATTTTTTTTACTTATATCATCCACACCCACAAGCAACTGTCTGCTCTAAATACTGCAATAATATAAAATGAGATAGTCAAACAAAACGTATGGAGTTATTTAAATTCATGTTCAAAAGTATTAATTGTTTTTTTGATTGACAATTTTGGTCATCTTTTAGGTATTTTAAACTGCAGCATATCACATGAAAGTATTAAATATATCAATTTTACAATAAAGTAAAATAAAAAAGAATTCCGATCCTTAGAAACAGATATTAAATAGTCTCATGATCGAATGATGGAGCATAATAACCGTTTAAACAAATCAAAAACTCTTTTACCTTTTAAACTAAAAATTTGCTTATTTCTAAATAATTTATTAATACTCGAATTGTTTAAAAGATATGACAACGAAGTTGTTTATTTCATTCAGTCATTTATTTGTATTCTTTTTTTCATTTTTTCACTTATTTTTATTTTATTAAATTAAATGTATACGTTTAAAATTAAAACAAAGCTGCCAAAATTTCACATATAGTTTCGATTTACAATTTTAAGAAATTGTTTCGACTTTAATTTGAAAATTGAGAAGCCTTATTAACCACATAATAACAACAGAAATCAAGGAGTTAAAAATAGAAACAAGTGTGATCAATAAACAATAAAATGCCAAGCTAACTAAATTAATTTTCTGCACGAAATATAATGTTGCAAATTAAACATAGTTCATATTTAGGGGAAACATGGAAAATTTGGTCATACAGGAGTTGTAAACAATTTTTTTCTCATGTTTAAATATTTGTTTAGCTGATGATCATTTGATTTCAGTGCTCTATTAAACAAAATCACATGTTGTTTCTGACAATTAGCAGTAAGTAAAATTAAAATAAAATTACATTTGTTATCTCAATTTCATCCAGAACAGACCAAATCAAGAGTTTTGGCAGATAGGACAGTCAAAGAGGGAATTGAATAGCGGCCGGCCATTTAAATAAATAAACGAAAAAATCATAACGTATATATAAAAAACTGCGCAAACCTTTCACGGTTTCCCTAACCACAACCAAAATTGATTTAATAAAAACATTTGCTTACCTCCAACGTGAAAGATTTATTTCTTCTTAATATCCTATGAAAATTTGGTATATAAATTCCTAGTTCACGGATTCTCTTACGATTAATTTGAAAAATAACAAAATAAAATTAACTACAATAATTAAGTAAATAAAGCAATTAGGCTAGTTGAAACATTTAGGAAGAGTAAAGGGGAGAAAAAAGCTTTTCTAGTAAATTAGAAAAAATGTCTAAATTTTGTAAGAACGAGAATTTAGAATTGAACTAGGCCCAATTTAAAGCCACTATGGAAATCTCAAGACAGAGTGACCCAAAGAAATTCTAGCAAGACCCTCCCCCTATTTACAGCTGTAGAAATGCTTTCTTCCCAGAAATTTATGATCAGAAATCAGACATAAGGGTGTTTCTGTAGATATCTGATATTTCCGAAGTTAGAAAAAAAGAGCCCCAAGGCAATATAAAGAAGATAAAAACATTTTCTCACAGTGTAAAGTGAGGAGGCTATTTGACAACTCTGTGGGTGGTAACTACTAAAGTGGGGATATTTTCATCAGTTTAAAGAGCGTTTTATTGCTCTTTTGGTTGGAAAAGTGAAGAGTAACAATTATTTTATGTTTGTAAACACTTCGATTAGATTTTGAAAATCATCCGATAATGTAAGAAAGAAAAATATATATTATAGACTTCAGAGGGCCCCAGCTCTGAATAAAATTTTAAAAAAAGAAGAAAAAAGTGGGATCAGAGGGCCCTCTTTAGTTATAAATAATAAATGAGCTAGAATTTAAAAAAAAATTAATGCAATGAGATTTGAGACTTTTCGGGGGCCACATCTGAACTCGGGGCCCTGGGCCAAGGTCCACTGGGCCCATCCTTAAAATCGGCTCTGATATGTTTATATTATTATTCAATATTCCAGTTAATTCTTAATATAATATGTATTTGGATAATCATTCAAGATGAGCCGCAGACAGTCGCCAAGAGCTTATTAATATTAGCACCCCTTGAGCGATGTTGTTAAAAAAAACAGTATGATTAAAAAGTTCAATGGATTCAACTATTTATGTTATATATAGCATGATACTTTGCCATAGATATGAAAAATTATAATATAAAATTAATTATTTGTATGTACAAAACATTTTGTTCTTTACCTTTTTATATTTTGAAAATACCATAGTTATAGCCAAAAGCATTACTCCATCCAGATTGTCATCTTTTATAGGTGTTTTCAATATCCATTTCATAATGAATTTTCCAGTCAATTGAACTATCTTTCGACCCAAATTCGTCAAATACAAGTAAGAACAACTGTAGACAATCCAATAAGGCCGCATTGCACTGAAAGAATAGTTGGTTTTTTTTATCATGTGTTAACGGAAAAATGATTGTTATCTCATAAGTGACAAAACTACAAAAACTAATTTTATAAAACATGTATACCACGTAAAGAAGGACTCACTTATGCCAATATTTTTTAAAAAGAAATGAAAAATGATGGTTCAGTGGTTAAGACACCAAACTGTCATTGTTGTGAAATCTGTCCAGCTTTAGATGAATGGGTACCAGCTTGTCTGGTAAGTAAAAGTGGTCTGTGCGTGACCACATTGCCGCATCATACCATTATGCATGAAATCAGGAACTTCTATGATGCACGAAGAATTGTTATAGAAATGCTTGTTTCAGAGCTTCGATGACAACTCTGACCCACAACGAGCCATTAGGGTTTTAAATACTACGTAAATACTTTTAAACATCTAGCATAGCAATGGATCCAAAAATAAATCAGGACAATTTTTATTGTATTCATCTGTATAATTTTAAAAAATAACTACAGGTAGTTAGATTTTTCAACAAAAAATATGCACTTTTTAAGCACTCAAAAAATATTTTTATCACTTTCCAAAAAAAAAAATATATATATCATAACTAGGATCTGTGCAGCAATAAAAATTATTTCTATCTATCATTTGAAGTTCTTAATTTTTAAACATAAGATCAATAAAATTCAAAAACTTTACATAATCAATAAAATAACTAATTTCTGATAAATATTGCAGAGAAAACTATGAAAATCATGAATTTTTTGTAATTCAGAACGACAATCAACACGGCAAAGAAAAAAATCTCTTTTTTAACAGGGTGCGTAGCGTTTTTAAAACGTGCTTAAAGGTGCTTATTTTTTATTTCCGTTTTTTTAAACCCTTGAAGGTGCTTTTTTCATTGGGTGTTTTTAAAAAGTGCTTAATTTTCCCTTTTCCAAATTGAGATTTTTCCTTTACCATGTTGATTTTTGCTACAAATTATGCGGAAAGACACTGTTCGTATTGTTCTATTCAACGTTTTCACAATTAATTCAACCCCAATCTATTTCGGCGCATCATCAGTCCATTGCATACGAAAACGCCATTCTATTTACATGATTCAAACATTTTGCCAAAAACAATGCCAAAAAGGTTTTTTTTTACATGACGGTCAAAACCAGATAAAACCGTCAATTGTCAAATTTTTTCCCACCCTGCCTAATTAGGATATTTTTTTTAAAAGTATTTAAAAATATTATTTGAGGGCTTGAAAAGTGCTTAAAAGGTGCTTATTTTTTGTTGAATAATTTGGCTACGCACCCTGCTCAAAATATAAAAAATTAAGCCTTTTTTATAAACCCAAATAAAAAAAAGCATCTTTAAGGGCTTTTAAAAAACGTAAATCAAAAATAAGCACCTTTAAGCACTTTTTTAAAATGATGCGCACTCTGAATAAGTAAAAAAATTAATATTAAGGACATAAACTGCTTATCTAGAAATAACAAACTAAAAAGTTAAAATCTGTTCTATTTCTGTAAAATTTTTTGTTATAATTCACTAAACTCATACGCCAAAAATGTTAATGAACTATTATATTTTTATAAAGTAAGTTTTATTGTTTCCTAGATGTATTTATAATTGGTGAATTATACAATTATTTTGTGATCCACACAAAAAAAATAATTTTACATACTAAAGAATAATTTTAAAGGTGAAATGTTGACAAATAATGAAAAAAGCAACATATTTAACCATAAATTATTTTATATCTTTCATAAATAAGAAATTGCAAGAGAGCAAATGCTATTTAATCAATTATATATTTTTTTAAAAAATTACTACCAGTAAATAATACAAAATTAAAAGGATGTTAAGTACACATCTGACAGTAATTACCCTAATTTTTTTCAACAAAAATGGCCAATTTAGGACATTTATCATGTTAACTGAGCCAAGATAACACTGGGAAAAAGTATTTTTTCTAACAGTGTATAGATGTTTGAAAATAAAAAAAAATTAGACCGTTACTTAATTATAATCTTAACAAATGGGATCAATAGATAAGACTGAAAGAGTTTATAAAAAGAAATTTAATGTTCTAACCAAAAGTAGTGTTAGTTGTGCTTTAGTGTTATTAAAAGAGCAACGCAAGAAAATAAGCTATTATTTAAGCAAAAAAATAAATGCTTTAAATATATTTATTCATTCTTAAAATAATTGTTCAATTATTTAAGTATTGTATTAATGAAATATTTTTGCAAAAAAGTTTCCAATTTCTTACACGTGAAATATGCCCAGAAAATTTAATATACTGAAATCCAATATTTTTCCTCATAACTTAATTGTTTAAGATTATCTTATGAAAAAAATATTAATTTTATTCAAATAGAAAAGTATATTTCTTAAGTAGAGAGTCCATCAAACATAAATATCTATAAAATTAGTTATTTTTCTTAAAATAGTAAACTTTTTTGAATGAAATTTCATTTTCTGCTTGTAATTTATTGTTGGTCCATCAAAAGCGTTAAACTTCATTTATATGTTTGAGAAATTGAATGATCTAAACGCATTCTAAAGTAAAACATTGCGTATTTCTGGAGAAATATGAAAAAAGGTATTAGCATGCATGCATACATACATGCATACGTACGTGCGTACAAACGTACATACAAACATAAGTACAAATATAAATACAAAAATACATACATACGTACAAACATACATACATGCAAACATGGCAAAATGCCTTAAACTGTTCTTGATTTATTTGTAAAAAAAACAAGTTAAAGCTCCTCCGAAATTTAAGGACGTTTTAATTATAAAAAATTTACCAAAATTTAAATTTATGTGAAATTCTAAAAGAAATAAATAAATTAAGTATAAATTCTTGCAATTATATGTACTGGAATATTTGTTGGTTGAAAGTAAATAAGTTAATATTTTTTATTTAGAAAAAAAGAAGAAAAAAAAACAGTTTTTTTTTCCTTCTTTAAAAAACACAAGAACATTTTTAAATACGTGAGTTGAAAATAAAAAGAGACCACTTGTAAAATTTACTACGAATAAATTCTTAAAAATAGTTTATGAGTTTCTTCGAGTTGATCGTTTCTAAGAAGAGATATATACCATTAAAAAGCGAAACGATGTAATTCATTTTTTTCAAAACACACCAAGATGGTAATAAAAAGTCGTTTCAAGCCCTCAATAATAGGCGTTCATTCATAAAATTTATCAGACGTGAATAAGGAAAACAAAAGTGATTTGAAACTGAAAATGATAAATTGCTAACGATTAAAGTAAAAAAAAACTAAACTAGAAAACATCTTATAACATCCTTATACAATACCATAACAAAAACCATATTAAAAACTTCCCAAGTTTGAAACATTTAATATACAGTCCCTGGCCAAATTATTAGACGTACTATAAAATTCAATGTAAAATCTTAATTATCAAGTGATACTTACAGCTTTATTGTTTTTACGCGACTGAAACCGGTTTCCACTAGTTTACAATTGTGTGTCAATTGGAGACATTAGACGATATATTATATAAATATAGAATATTTATTAGTATATTATTATAATTGAACCAAATTATTAGATGCTCTTTAGTGTTTTAATAATTCCATGTTTTGCCCTAGTTTATATGCAATACTTTTATATTTAAACAAACATGTAATGGGTTTTAATTCGAGAGACTTTTTATATATTTCCTTTTTTAATTTATTTTTAACGTATTGCATTACAATGTTAACATATTGATACACGAACATAAACAAATGTAAATCGATTTCAGCAGCGTAAAAACAATAAACATTAAACAATAAGGCCTGATAATTAAGATTTTACATGAAATTTTATAGTATGCTTAATAATTTGGCCAAGGACGGTATTTTAGCAAGAAATAGTATGTTCGATTAGTATAAGCAAAACTATGATTTGAAGAATGTTAAAGAAGATGCAAAGTAAATAAAAAATGTTACACTGTTTTCTTGTGTCCACCCGTATTAAAAAGAACTTGACACTTGACCTTCAAATCAGGATCTAAAACAAGGTGTAGAGCGGGATAGACTGCACTACTATGAGAAATTATAGCATCTAAACTGAAAATAAAAATGGAATTTGGATGTTATTTTCCTATAAATCAAATTTTGTTTCATTTTTAAATACTAGACACATAACTCAAAATGCAAATTTAAGTTCAAATTGCGTGTTTAGAAAAAGATACAGCTCAAAATACGAGCTTAATAAATTAGATAGAGCTCAAAATGCTTGTCTCAGAAAATGGAGACAGCTCAAAATGCGTGTTTAAGAAAATAGACCTAACCGTGCATAGTTGGAAGATATGAAATAGCCGTTGCAGAATAAACAAAAAAGAAATGGTCCCCTCTTACAAATATACAGTAGCGCGACTTGAAATAAGCCAGTTTATTACTTCCTGTGGCAATTTCATACCTTCCAACGAGTATTACCCATGATCATGCATAAGTTATTTATTTGTTTTTATTGTATGCATATTAAATTTCATTAAAGTCGGTCTGCAAATTAACGTTTCGCGAATTTACTTTTTTTTAAAAAAAACATTTTATGGTGTTCTAAATACGAAGAGATGTGTACGCGTGACCTGACCTGATCCTGAACTTCACCCCCTAATAATTGTGTTTAAGAAAACAATAAAAAGTAAGTTTGAAATTTAGAATTGGTGTCTCAGTTTTTCTCTTCTTGTTTAGTAATTGTTCAATTATTCATATTTTACCTTTATTTAATGTTCCTTCTTTCATATTAGGAATAACAGTCTTTTGTGATAATTTTCCATCACTTTTCAAGATATTCTTTTATGCTTCTTTAGAGCACTGATTTCTTTTTAGTTTCTTCAAGAATAAAACCTTTTTTTTTTCCTTCTTTTTCCTCTCCACGTTCAATTTTTGTCTTTTTGCTCCTTCCCTACTTTTTTTCCTTCTGTTGCGGTCAGGGCTCTGTTTGGTCAAGTCACCCCTTGCCTACCTTTGAAGAGTCCCAGAGTATGTGTCCATCTCTCCTCTATTTTTGAAAGCTACGAATCGCTGCTATGTTTTCGCATTTCTACACATTTTACCTTCATAAATCAAAACTCTTCCTTTCGAAAATATATCAGATATGATTTATTGAGCTGTGGTGGCTCAGAGGATAGACCGGGTTTGAATCCCGGCGATGGCTGGCTGATTCGAGTTTCGCACCCGGCTCGCACCGACCACAGTGGTAGACGGAACATGGGTTAGAGTCCTCTTGCCACCAAGCTAACCGTGGGATGTTTTCGTGGTTTTCTTCTCTATGTAACGCAAATGCGGGTTAGTACCATTAAAAACTCCTCCAGGAAGGCAAATTTCTCCCGATATTTGATCCAGAAGTTTCCTTGTCTTCTGGACTGGGTTCAAAATTACAAGGCTGCGGAGTTGAACATTGGTAGCCGTAAACCCAAAACTGGGTCGGTTGTTCAACGACAGTTATAAAATATAAAAAGATATGATATGATGAAAATATAAAATAAAAAGTTATTAATATGTGCAAGCTGTTCCTGTCGTGGATATAAATAATTTTTCCTGTAACAAATCGATGAACTGCCAGTTAAATAAACCTGTTCAACTCACTAAATCTACCATTTGTCGTCCATTTCATTTGATAGAATATTTTCTAGCAGTGGCTCACCCAGAAAAATCAATCTAGAGGGGGTAATCCTTCCAGAAAGAGGATCATTCTAGGAGGGGGGGAGGAATCATTCCAGAAAATCATTCTAATCTATAGGTTTAAAATTGATAATCTTAGTTTTCAGGAATGTTGAACACTGAATTATTTTAAATAATATGGTAATAAATAAAAAAAAGAACACAATTTAGAAATTGATTATTATAAAAAAGAAGAAAAATTTTCATCCTTTTATCTTTCAGTCTTATGTTCATTTTTCTAGGTCGGGTGATTCAGATCATCCTCTTCAAAAAATGTTCTTTTAATGAATGAAGAGTGTGCAGAAAAAAACTTTTGAACTTAATTACTTTTGAACTTAATCAACTTTTGATCTTAATGATCGGATTATCAAGTACTAGGATTCAAAGGAGTAACTTCAAATACGCAAATTAATCTGTACTCACGATATTTTAAATTACCAAATCAGGTACAAAAACTTTCCTTCTACCTCGTGACAGAATCGCATTGTCGCACAACGTTACAGAGAGATTTTCTTTTGAAAAGTAAAAAATGTTACTTTTCTCCAAATGTTATACGTAATAATTGAATCACACAATTAAATAATCACTTTTTGACGCCCTCAGTTTACGCCCATGGTATCGTAAATCGATGTAATGTTTCGATTGTATTCTCGGCAGTTATTGATATTGATTTTCGCGTGTTTTTTTTTTCTTTTTTTTTTTTTTAAATATCCCGATATATTTCAAGAGAAGAAAATTGGGATTGTGCATTTGAGTATTTACTTTTTAGGACAATAATTCTTTCGAATTTTCGGCAGTTAATGCTTTTGATTTCTCTAAACTTTTTAAATCCGATATTATTTATTACAACAACCTATTCTCGAAACGAAACACGCATTTTTTTATTGTGATGATTATTTACAAAATGGGGAATAATTTCTGTGCCTCCCCCCCCAATAAAATGCAAGAATACCACCCATAATATTAGAATCAAAAATTATTACACGTTCAACTAGAAAAAATTATATATAGTTTTTTTTTGTAAACATACCACTTTTGCTATTTTAAAAGAGTAACATATATGATTGTTAAAAGTATTTTGCAGAAAGATATTGGTGCTAGAGAGTTTTGTCGCAGATAGCTCGAAAACAGGGTAATAACTTTTTCTTTGCACAGCTCCGGATTGCTCAAAATATATGGGAAATATAGTACTGATAATTTGATTAGGAAATTGGATCCCTTAAGGGCAATTTTACTTTATGCGTAATTCGCTATATTTCGAGATAAGCAAATTGACAAATGTTTGCACATAAAACTCACTTATCCAAAGATAATTCCTATCAGAAAATAATTCTTAATAATATTTTATTTAATAATAGTCGAAAATTTTTTGAATATTAGGGTATGCAATTTTTTAAAAGAATGCAATTTAAAATGGCAAATTGCAAAATTTGAGCGAAATCGGTCGAATAATTCCAGAGAAATTGAATTTTAAGAAGTTCAATATTTAAAAATAATTAGCATATTTACTCCTTAAACCTTCACGATTTACCTTCACCTCTTAAACGATCACCTTGTATAGTCCTAGAACGTAAAAATCCGATCATTAAATCGAACCGGTTTTTTTTTTAAAAATTTTTAATGTTTATTTTTATTTATTTATTTAGCTTTATTTTGCGCCAATCCTGTGCCTGTTCAATTACACCAAAGAAGTCATATCCTCTTCTCTACAATGGTATTTTCAAAATAAGAGGAGAAATAAAAGGGTTTCAAAGAAAAGAAGCTGTTTTGATAATATGCACTGTTTGAAGATTAATTACTCAATAAGAAATAATACTTTACTTTTGTTCTCGAATTAGTTTAAAGGTCATGATTTTTTTGTATCGATGAATTTCAGATAATCGAATTAATAATAAAGAAAAATACCTTGCTTGTGGGAGAGGGAGGTTAACCCTATCCTGGGTGATCAACTGTTTTTCAGCTTCCAAGGGAGGCGCCAACACGATGAAGTGAGTATAGTTTGTCTACGGTAAGAACTCCCCCCGCCAAAAAATCTGCTATAGAAACATTACTAGTGGGGGGGTAGCTTCTCTTGGTTCACAATAGACCGATGAAAAAGATTTCCTTTCTCTCGCCGATCTGAGCCTGTCCTAAACAAGTAAACTCAGTCACCAAACGAATGGCTTCGAACTTTCCCATACTCTTCACCTTGGGCTCTGTTGTGCACACTTTAGACAAACTATAATCATCAATTTTCTTCCTAAAATACCTTGTCCTTATTTTGCTATCCGTATTCTTTCACATGATTTCTTTTTTGTTGCTTTTATTACAATATATTGAGCGGTGAGTTATTTACAGGTATAATATTAAAAAAAAAATGGTTTCTGATTAAAATTAACTCGCCTTTTTTGCTTTACCTTCAGATATTAATCGATAATCAGTGGTCGGAAAAACTACATTATTTTTGTACCTTACTACAACTACTTTGTTACCAAATGTAGTTCCCTACAACTACTTTTTTTTAATGTAGTGACTACAAACTACTTTGGAATTGTAGTAACTACTTTAAGGAGACAAACTTATATAAAATGTAAGGGAATAATTAAGACATATTTATTCATGTTTACATGAGCCAGTTTGTTATTGCAGAAATTTTTATTTCCCCTGAAAAATGTCGAAAATACGTTCCCTTCTTTTTAAATAACATCAATGTGTATGTGAAAAAGTGTTTAAATTAAATGTCTATTTTTCGTAATGTCTAGTTTAAATATTAGTTATAGATGATTCTAAATAGGGGAGAGTCGGGTAGCCCCGCCCACTTAAGGAGTATTGCTTATATTTTTGTATAATATTGAGTAATAATCAATATTTTTGTATGTTCCCATTGTTTTATCATCTAATTAAATAATGCAAAAAGAATAAACCAAAAAAAGAATAGTGTAACTTAAAAAAATAGATCATAAATCAACATAGATAATAAATCAACATATTTTCAAAACTATTGTTTACCATGTTACCAGCTGCATAAATACTTTGAAAAGAATCTTTTTTTAATATAACAATTAATGTCCGATGGACTTGAAAAAATATTCTATACATATGAAATTGACAGTGGACGGGGGTACCCGACACTCCCCTATGTAATTCCTGTTAATGCTCAGCTACAGCCATCCATTGACGGACCCTCGAAGATTTGTGTCCATCAAATTCGAATAATTAGTTGCATTAGAGCCGTGTTTCTTTGCTACACTTTGCTACAAACTACTGTTTTTTTGTATAGAACTACACGACTTTTTTGAGAAAGTAGATCACTACACTATAAAGAATACTATAAAGTTAGAACAGAAAAAGATATCGTCTCCCTACTCTATGTCTTTGAAGTTGAAATTTTCCTTTTTAAACTTGGCGTATCAATGACGAGCAGTTCTTTTAGCTATAGCACCCTGTCCATACATAGCACAAATGTCAGGAGCAGCTACTTTTGCGGTTATAGACCCTTGATTAAAAATAAAAAGAAAAGTGTCAAAAATGATTTCTTTTTCTCCTTTTGACATTCTATTTTAATGCACTGAAAATTTAAATAAATTAACTGAAAAATAACAACAAGAAAAAATAAAATTAAGAAAGACGTAGATTCCGGTAGTACTCTTTCGAATGATCTAACTCATTATGCCAAAAACATATATTAACGTTGTTAAAATATAAGAAAACGGCGGGAATTAATTTCCAAACCATCACATATTATTATAAAACAAAAATAAACACATACTTTTTTACATCTATGGCTTTTAGGAAATCTTTAAATACTTGAGTTTTTTCTTCAACGGTATGACGAAAAAGTTCTTTTTTATGTTTTCCGGGTAAATAAAGAGAAGCTGTAAAAATAACAATAATAAAAAAATTCACAATCCAAATATTTTTATTTATAGATAGCAACTAATAGATACACGTTTAAGTGATGACAAAATGTTAATTATATTTAATATATTCGGTTATTTAAATATCACTAAGAATTTAATTATTGTGTAGAACATTGTGCAATTAGCACAACTCTTACAGTGTCAACTTTTAGGCATAATTTGTGATGATATAATTCATTGTTTTGTAGAAATTACTCCGCAAGAACCTCGTTTCAGGTCTCGGAATTGTTGGGAGGATGGTTGGAAATTGTGGCAGTATTATTAAAAATATAGAGTCCTCAAAACATTAAGAAAGTTATTCAAATAATAGTATTACCAAAATGTCTTTACTTCATTTCAGCATTAATTCTGGCAAAAAACGAAATTTGTTTTTGACAATTTAGGTCAACTTTCACAATAGATCAAGTAAGCAATTTTGAAACAATGTATACTCATTTTATTTGAAATTTACTGATTTTCAACTTCTGTATTTGCACTTTTTCATTATTGCTGTTTGTCAAATATTTGGCCACAAAAAAAACGTTATTCCAGATCAGTTAAAATAAAGAAACATTTGCCGGCAGTCCGAATTGAAACCCCTGACCTATAAGTAAAATACAAAATTTTTTTAAACCTATCAATCTGAGTAATGTCTTAAATTAATAACTGAAATGTTATCTAAAAAACATTTTAATAACGCGACTCTTATATTTATTATGCAATCAATTTTCTATTACTGATTTATAAAATAAACAGAAGCTAATATATAAAATTGAAGAATTTTAATCAAGGTATCTGAAATATTTATTATTTTGCTATGTCAAAAATAATACTTAATGCATTGAATAAAAATTTTCATAAAGCTATTATTATATGTACAGTGCACAAAAAATCAGAAGAAGAAGAAATCAATTTTTAAATATGGGACTTTTTTTGAAAATTTTAAAACTCAGAAACTATTCGCTCAATTTTGAAATTTGCCATAGAAAATTACATTCATAGAATTGATGCAAATTTTTTTAAAACTTTTTTGAAATCTTAATATAACTCAGAAACCATTTGCTAAATTTTCAATTTTGCTATAGAAAATTACATTCATAGAATGGATGTAAAATTTTTTATACTTTTTTGAAAATTTAATAACTTAGAAACTATTTGCAAAATTTTGAATTTTGCCATGGAAAATTAGAGTCATGAAATTGATGTAAAAATTGTTGTACTTCCCAATTAAAATTTTTTTAATATTTTTAAAATGAACAATAAGGAATAATCCAAATGATTTTTTGCAAGGATTGATCTTTGGATAAATGAATTTTATAATTGTGTGCAACAATTTCGTTTACATAGCGTATGATTCACGATATATGGCGAAATACGCAAAAACTAACATTAAATTTATAACTCTCTCAACTGACCAAATTATTGGGAACATATTTATTTTGAGAACTCAAATCGGTCGGAAAAAATTATGTTTATTGAGAGCGATTTTGTGTCGTAACTTAAAATATCATCTGCACTAATTATGATGTCATTAAGATTGAGATAATCTGGTCATTAGTTATTGAAAATAGGATATACCTGGAAATGATGGTACGATAACTCTCACACCTTCATTACTAAGATCATTAATAAGATGATTGAAGACACTATAATTGCCTGGAATTCCATGGATACATAATACAGTTTTAGGTGGTTTTTCAAAAGCAGTCTTATTTACTCCTGTGTCAATGTAATCTATTTTAGCAAAAACTCCACTTTCAGGAATTTTATAAAACGTCCCATCTTTTTTCCATTCATTGTAGATATTTTCACACGTATAAATAGTGACTGTTTTTTCAGGAAAATTCACTTCAACTTTTCGTTTGGAGAGATCTTTTTCTGAAGATCCATTGTTTGAACCAACATATCTTAATACTGAACTTCTCAACAATGATTGTTGTTGTTGACCAATAATACTTTTTAATGATTTTGTAAGTACATGGCAGAATGGTTTTTCCAACATTTTCGAACCTGAAAAAGAAGTATCATTAGATAAGGCAAAACACATTATTATGAAAACAGTTTAAAACAAAGTGTTTAGAATTAATAAATAAATAAGATACTTGTGATATACTTTATAACTTATATAGATACTAGTGATATACTATATATAGTAAAGAGCTAATTTTGAATTAGATTTATATTATGCATTCACTGCTTATGCAATATACATTTTTGTTAAAATAGTGATATACTTTAATAGAAAGAATAGTGATAAACAGTGATATACTCTTAAAAAATAGCGATAGACTTTATAACTTCTCAGTTAAATATACTAGTAAATAAAGTACATCTCAAAAATGGGAACGTTAACAACAGCTAATTCTGAATTCGATTTATATTTATGCATTCACTGCTTATGCAATATACATTTTTATTAAAATAAAACTAAGCCATTCATTATTAAATTTAAGGACATCAGATTATCTTAAAAAACAAATTTATACGAGTACGTTACATTCATTGGTCAATGAAAATTTCATGTGGAAGAAAATTGCACTGTGTAACGTAAATATGTCATAAAAATATAAAAAAATACTTAAATATTTGAAAAGTTATTTTAAAGACGGTTAAATAAGTTTAAAGCAAAATAACAGCTCGGTTTCGTACGTTATATTTTCTGATATGCATCAAAACACTAAACTGTTTTTTCTAAAAGTCATTTACACAGGAATATATAAATTGCAAGGAGTAACCAAGTAACCGTCCTATTTTAACTTTATGCTCTTATTTTTATTTGTAAAAATCTGTAAAAAAATTTTATTTCTTGCTGTTTTACAGGCTCAGTTAACATCATGACGGTTAAAGAAAAACCTTATTGCATTTTAAAAATTAATCATATTAAAAACACCACCCATGTTGACAGTATTCATTCAAGCTCTTAAATATCTCGATATATATTCCACTTCTAAAAATAATGGTTCAGTTAATCTTTTAATAACCGTATAAAATGCTTTCCATTGTGAGGCTGTTTTTTGAGGTCACCAGGAAATAAAAACTGGCCTACTTTCTAGAACTATGAGAAACGCAAACAATTTTATTAAAGTTTTGTTATATTATTTTAATATAATATAAACTTGATATTTTATAATTTTCTCTGGGGACAAATATTGAAGTGGTTTGCACTTATGCTGGTTTGAAGTTGAATAAGTGTTTTAAAACTCTAAAAAGTACAAGAAAACTAGCATAAACTGACTTTTCTATTATTAATATTCTCTCATCTCGTTCATATTATTAATAATCTCTCTCTCAGACATATTAAACGAATTCTATATTGAATCTATTGAATATAATCCACAATCAATTAAAACCTTTCCTCGAAAGACAGTGATAATATTGATTTAATTAACGAAGAAAATGTATGGATGTGTTTTTAGTAGAAATTGAGTAGTCACATTATCTATAAATATTTTTAGAAACATATTAAAATACAAAGTGAAATAAGTATTTTTTCTCCGGCCGGTACTTAAATAAATCTATTCATACATATCACAAATAATGGGGGAGGGGGGAATCACTTTTCACAAAAAAGAGAATTATTTTAGAGCTTTCTTATACGTGTCAATAAAGCTTTCCAGGGACCAGCAATAAATGACGAACGAAAAGACCTGTTTTTAAACATCCAAAAAATATAGAAATAAGCTTTGTATCAATTACTTTTGTTATCATATGTAATAAAATAGTAATGTTATTAAATAGTAATGTAATAAATAAAGTAATCTTTTCATACTGCAACAAATTCGAAAATTATTTAAGGATTTTTTATCATAATTTCGTTCTTAGTCGTAATTTGTAACTTATGAAAAAAGTTTGATTTGACCATCATGAAAATGCAAAAAGTTTTTTACCAATTTTCCAAGTAGCTTTTGCACTTTTTAAAAGAACGTTCCGAATTATAAGGAGTTTTCCACAATATTAATTTTGTGTCATAAAACAAACTTTAACAACGAATGATAATCTTCACAGATTACGTGAAAAACAAATTGCGATGTTATAAAAAAAAAATGCAAAATAAAACAAACTTTTGTAAAGTATGATCCTTTATAATGCCTGTAAAAGTTTTAATATACCTTGTTAAATAGTAGAGAATTAAATTTGTGGAAAATCCCTTACCATTCAGAGAATTCTTTTAACATTTACAAGAACATTTACATTTTCAAGATTGGACTCCTTTCGAACTTATATATACAAGATACGCAGTATACAAGAGCTAATTTAAATGCTCATAATTTTTAACGAATTTCTTTTAAATTTTAAAATAATATTCTTGTTAGTAATTAAAAATTGCTCCAAAACTTTTGTTTCATTTTATTAAATATTTTTAAAATTATAAAAAGAAAACGTAAGGTAAAAAAATTAGCTTTTATATTAATATTCAAGCTAGGTTTACAAAAATTTATGCCGCTGATGCATATAATACGTATATGAAGATATCAATACAAGTTACAAATTTATTTTCAAACATAAGGTGTTTTTTTAAACACCCCTTTTCGTCCTTAATTTATTCTCTCACATTTTCGAAAGCTTTAAATTTCATTAACACGTATTACAAATTCCATGACATAAACAGCTCTATAGTTGTAAAATAATTATGTTAGTATTTGTTGAGAAATTTGAAAAAGTGCTAAAAATTCTGAGGGTCTCTTTCAGTGTTGTACAATGTGCAAAAAAAAAAAAAAAAAAAAAAAAAAAAAAAAAAAAAAAAAAAAAAAAAAAAANAAAAAAAAAAAAAAAGGACCGTTTACAATAACTAATTGATCTAATTGATTTGATCTAATGATTGTATCTTCACATACTAGGACTCAATCTTCATGGCTCGAGAGGGTGACCTCAAATCCTCAAATATGCTAATTAATAAGAGAGCAGACGATATTTTAAGTTATGAAATCAGACACAAAAATGTACTTTCTNAACTGCATCAATGGTAGTTCTCCCTGTTGGATCATTCCTACCATTTATCATTTACAATCCAAATTCGTCTTTAAGGAAGATAAATAATGTTTCACCTTCAGGTAACGAGAAATTCACATTAAAATCTCCTACAAGGATCACAGGCCGCTCACAATAATCAATTTTTTAACCAGTAACGTCTGCCAGAGCTAGGGAACCTGCAGTGGATAGTCGTGGCAATAAAGATTTTGCAATAAATAATTTAATATCCCTCATGGCTGCATTTGGTGAAATATAAATGGCAATTAGAAAAGAGAGAACCTAACAATCAATTGATATTCACAGGAGACGTACCTTAACATAACCTTAAATCCGTCGCATTGTCCGTTGGATTGTTTTCACTCATTTTTAACAATTGTTATCTACTAAATTTGAAAATAAAAAATACTACCCTATTAAATTATGTGTGTATCAAATCAAACTAAAATATTTATAGAAAAACAATACTTTTATGACTTTTATTATTTTTATTCTAGTGAGAACCAAAACAATATGGAAATGAATGAGGGAAAACTGGATCCTACCACACGATTTCCCGGCCAATAAAAATGCAGCGTTAAACGTTTAACGCAACCTTGTTGGAAGTCGCATAAGAAGCGTCACTTCAATAAAGGTTCATTGTATGTCTTGCCAAAACTTCAGCTGTCAAGATAAGGGTAATTACTTTCTGGTGTGTTAGTGGGTATCCCATTGCCCCCCCTCCCCCTAGAATGAGCTTGGCTTAATATTCTCTTGTCCTGATATAGCTATTTTCTCTTGGTTCTTACTTGAGAAAGAGGTTGCTATATAGCCTGGTATGAAGAAAGATTTTTCTCTCAGCAAGAGTGAGATCGAAGTCTTAGCTATCAGAGGGAAAATTTTCTAAGAATAAAAGATGCGAAAGGGATTTACCTTGACTAACCACCATTTCATGAATAGCTTGTCTAACTAATTGAGACGGATTTATGTAGTGTTTCTGCAATTTTAAATAAACTATAGAGTTAAATAAAATGTCAATTATCTGAACATTTTTCTAAACATTGGAAATATTTAACAATCATATGAAAGAAAGTCTTTGAAATTTTTGAGAATTTTTTTAATTGTAGCTCAACTTTAATTTTTCATTGAGTACAATTATTACATCAATTAAATTTAACGAAATTGATCAATATGTTATTATTATGATTAATAATTTTAAACTATATAGTTTATCATCTGTATCAATGAGGTTTGAAAATGAAACAGGTATAAGAATATAACATAATATGGTAATTGCACCGTAAAAACATAAATTGAAATTATAATTTTTTTCTTCAGGATTTTATGTGATTGAAACTATTTCTATGTACTGATCTTTAAGCCGTGATACAGACTTAACTGAGAAATCATTCAATAGTATTAACAAAATATTTTCACTGCAATTTTATTTTTTATTAAGCACGAAATTGTTAAATGCGGTTTTATAATTAACTCACTTTTTTTTAAAACTTTTTCCTAAATCTTGATCCTGAAGCTTTCCTTTTTAAAAATTTATTTTTCACTAATAAATTTTTCGAAAATTTATTAGCTTCCAGAAAAATGCACTTAAAGCATAAAATAAGTTAAATATAGTTGTTTGTCATACGAAATGAAGGAATGTAAATGAATTTGCTCAAAAAATTTTTAAATTTTTATAAATTTATATTATATACAAAAAAAATTATCCTTATTTCACACATAGAGTATTCCATAAACAACGCCGTACACATTTTTTCAATTCTTTAAAAGTAAAGTTGAACTATTAGTCATATTAGATGTCACAAAATAGCATTAAAGCGAGGAAAAATATTTTAAAAACTGGACCAATAATTGATGAGGAAGGATACATTGAAAAAAGTTTGAATAGCAGAATTAAGAAAAAGTAGTTTAAAGCCAACTAAAATTATTTCTCAAGAAATACTTTTTTGGTGTTTAGGTCATGGAATTTCTCATACTTATAAAAAGTTTTAAAGCTTTCAAAGATTTAAGAGACCGGCAATGAATTACGAACGAAAACTAGTATT